GGGCTTTTTAAAAGTCCTTATCTTTTATATTTACATACTGAACTGTAAGAATGGGAATAGGTTAGCATAAGAGTAGCCATCTTAGGGGCCTAGAAGCCATTTTATTTAGAAAGAAAAAACTGGGCCTGGGTAAGGCCTTGAAAAACAAGTTAATCATGAGCACCGGGTGGTGGGCAGCTGTGACCCTTGGTCAGTTAATCTTACATACCAAGCTTATCGTGCAGAACCTCCCTAACCATTGAGGAGTAGTCTTATCCTGCCCTTGTTTAACCCCAGGATGTATGTCTTGCAAGAATTATGTATAGCTGTGGAAAATTACTATGAGTTAAGTGCTTTGAAAATGCTATATAAACCCTTGGCTCTGAGTGCTCGGGGTCCTTGTTGAGACCTGCTGTGTGAGGCAGACACTTGGACCCCAGCTAGCTGGAAAAATAATAAACCTCTTGCTTGTTGCATCAATCTGCTGTGGCCTTCGTCTCCTCACTGGGGTGAAGTGCAGACTGGAATAAGGCCCTTGGGTCTTACAGAACTGCCCACCATCATTATGTAGTAATGAGATTTTAAAAAAGAAAGGATCCTGTGGGTAAAGTTGTAATATTTCCAGAATATCTCGCCTGGCTTTATTGTATCTGCATATCAATAGGTGTTCCTCAGGGGTGGAGAAGCATTGATCACCATATCAATGGGTAATTACCTGGACACTGAGGGCTTATCTGAACCTAAGAGGTTAGGCAGAGGGAGGGTTTTACTTATGCTGGAGCAGGGAAGAGACGTCTGGACTCAGTTTGTAAGCAATGGGTTTTAAACTTTCTCTCTTTGACTGCTTTCAGTTTTAGAGGTATTTTGCCCTGGGATTTCCTTTCCCTGGAGTTACAGATCCTTAAATGCTTATAGAATCATTTGTGGATAAAATGATACTGTGTCTGCAATTTTCGTTAAAATAATCCAGGTTTTTGTTGCTTCTGGAAGGGCAGGTGTTATAGGTGAAACAAGATGGACCAGGTGTTACTAAGTGAAGGTGATGACTGTACATAAGGTTCATTAAACATTTTTTCAACTTTTGCTATGCTTAAAGTTTCCATAATGGAAAATTCTAAAATGAACAAAACGTTCTATCCACTATTCTCTTAAAATACAATAACCTCTAAGAAGAGAAGTTGTAGAAAACTTCCATGGCTGGGCAGGAACAAGCCAGAACCTCTGGAATGGGCAGGTCTATGGAGGGTCCTGCTGTGGGGGACACCCCTGCCTGAGCTGTGATCAAGATCTAGCTGTAGAATATGACCTGTGTCTTCTGGAATACTGCTTAGCTAGGCAAGTGTCAGGATAAATAAAGTTCAAGTTCTGGTGTTTTAACATTTTGCTAAATCAGACCCCACACGACCAAACCCACCTTATTTTCTATTTCCACTATATTGATCTGTCTCAACCATCCAACAAGACTTAGCTCAAGCCCTACCCTCTTTTTAGCTACATGGCCACTAATCTCCCTTTTTCCATATTCTGATCGTTCATTTTGTCTTGTTTGTTCCCACATAGTGTTGGTTGACTGTTTCCTGACTATTCTTTTCCCAACCTCAATGTATGCTCCTTAAACCAAGGGCCAAGACATATTTTTAAAAATTCTCTCAGCATCAAAAATACTATTCACAAAGTTGGAGCTCAATTAGTACTTGAATAAATAAAGGCTTTGAAGAAGCCAAAAAGTAAATGATGTAATGGCTTGTTGAACAAAGGCAGTCAATAGTTAGGGGAAAGGATTCTTCTTCCCTCTCTCCGGGTAGTTTCAAGAATCCCACAGACCCAGCGCTTCTAATTGTTAGGAAGATGCTGGTTTTTTTTGACCACTTTGAGTGATGGAGCAAAAATCAGTGCATCTGGTTCTGCATCAGAGCTTGGAATACTTTCTTAGAAGTTGGAATTTAAAAGAATGAGATTTTGCCCTTGTGGTTTGTAATCCCCTCGTGCACTTTCTACACTCCGCGGCCCGGGCTCTCCACTCGCGAGTGCAGCAGGCTATGCTGTGTGATAACACAGAGGGCAGCTGCAGTGCTCGTGTGAGGGCTGCGCGGCAGCTTCAGATATTAGGCAAATGTTCTGGTGAATCCCTAGAATAGCCAAGTGGCACACAGCGGAGACTCATGATCTCTAAGTAACGCTGCTATGACTCCGATTCAAAGGCACATTGTTTGTTCTTCTTAAGGCATCTCCAGCTGAAACTTTTAGCTTTAGTGATTAAAAGATGGATTCATCCTATCGAAAGAATAGAAATTACACAAACGTGTATGAGCCAGGCTCCAGGGAAAACTCCTGTTTGAAAACGGGAAACAAAAAGTAGGACAGTGAACGTTTTCACTTTGGCGCTCTGGTCCTCAGGGGTCACCGCTACCATCCGAGCTGGTGCGAGCGTGGGAGGACAGGGACCCATTGGGCCCCGGGACGAAGGCCTCCGCCCAGTGCCGAGTGTCCGCAGCGCCGCCGGCCAGGCCGGGCGCCACTGAGCGCGGACCTCCGGCGCATCCTAGAGCGGCCGCGCGCGACCGCAGCCAGCGGCGCACTTCCGCCCGCGCCCGTCCCTGCCGGGTGGATGGCTGGGCCTAGCTGCCGGCGTGCGGCTCCCTCGGCTCCTGCCGCGGGCCTCGGGGAGTGGGTGAGTGGGGCAGGGCGCGCCGGAGAGGGCGGGCCAGGGTTTGCACCGCTGCCGCCTGAGCCGCGCGGGCGGGCGCGCTTCCTCTGGACTCGCGGCCCAGGCCCGGCACGGAGGAGCCGGGCCGGGGGAGCGCCGAGGACTGAGGATGCGCCTGTCTCCCGACCCCCTCCACCCAAAGGCGGGAGCCCGCCCCGCCGGCCTCCCCTCCTTTTGGGAGACTGAGCTCTTAGTGGTCGGAGACCTGGCCTCTGACCCTGACTCTGCCTTGGCCTCTCTCTCACTTTCTCCCTCCGGGTCACCGTTCTTTCAGCCCTAAAATGGAGGATGGCACTATCTGCCCTACCTACACCGTGGGGTGATTGCAGGTTTGGCATGCCTGCCTGCCTAGAAACTGGTGCTCAACCCAGCAGCTTGTAGAGTTATTCGGGAAGCTTAACAAATGCTGAGGCCCTAGAATCGCCAGGGATTGATACACAACCGGGACTGAGAACCACTGGCTCAGAGTGTCTAGTGACAGTAAATGTGGTCCTGTGGTGTGTTCTCGACCAAAATATGCATTTGGTCCAAGGTGAATCATAGTGGATCATGAGAAAGCAAGCGGCTGTTTTTTTGTTTGTTTGTTTTTTGTTTGTTCAAGAAGACAGGGACCAAATCTGGTTTGGATACTTTCCATTACTAGTGCCTAGAATGGTCTATGTCACAAAACAAGAACCCTTGATTAAATAAATTAATTTCTGATTACTTCCCGACCTAGTGAAAGGATTTTCATTGTTTGGCTTGTTCTTAAACTTTTTATTACTGCAATTTTCAAACATACAAAAATAGCATAGTGTACTGAATTCCAGTTCATGATCAATCTTGTTTCATCTACTACCCTTACACCCACTGGATTATTTTAAAGCAAATCTGAATGTACCATTTCATCCATTAAATACTTGTTTATGTTCATAAAACACAACTCCTTTTTAAAACATAGTATCAATCTAACAAGCATTTCATGTTCTCTACCCAGTCAACGTTTACATTTCCTCAGTTGTCATTTTTTTCCCTCCCATTATCAGTTTGTCAAAATCAGGGCCCAAATAAGCTATACATGTTACAATTGGCTGACTTCTGCATCTCTCTTCATATCTTTATCCCTGCCCTCTTTATTTTTTTCTCTTGCATTTTATTTGCTGAAGAAACCAAGTAATTTGTCCTGTAAAATTTCTACATACTGCATTTTGCCTTTTCCAAGACCTGTGGTGTCCTGTAGTAACAGGCATGTAGATTACAGCCTTTTTCAGATTCAGGTTCTTTTTTGGCCAGAAAAGCTCATAGGGTTACTGTGTACTTCATATTGCATCAGGATTTAGATAAGAATCTGTCTTTATGGTATTGATTAATCAGTGGACCTTTTCTGTATATACTGCACAGCAGGGTAACTAAATAATTGACCAGAGAATTACAGAAGGATGCCAGCTAATAGGTGTAGAAGGAATGAGAGAACCTTTTGGCAACCTCTGATGAAATCAAATGGATCGAGGCAGTGATCATTAATGGCTGTTAACATTAGAAAGAGATAGCCAGACAGCGTGTGCTTCCTGATAGAAGTACCCAGTATCACTTATCAAGTATTCCTGGATGAATATTTACCAACTATCCTTTGATGATGGGTGGGGATATATAGATGAGAAAAGATTGGCCATGAGTTGATAATTATTGAAGTTCTGTGATGGATATGTGGCTGTACATTATACTAATCTCTCTGCTTTTGTATGTGTTTGAAATTTTTCATAGTAAGTTTTTTTTTAAAAAAAAGTCTGTCTAATTTAATAGTGAGTTAAGGTCAGCGTGATCCTTTATAATTCTCCATTAGACTTTTACTAAGTGGTTGTTAAACCTGAGTACACATTAGAATCACAGGGGAAAATTTGTTTTTTCATGCTAAAACACATGTCTCACTTGCAAATTTTTCTGTGTAGTTGTTCTGGGATAGAGCCCAATCATCCATAGGTTTCAAAAGCTCTCCAGGTAATTCTAATATGCCTCAGGGTTCTGTACCCATGGCCTGCATGCATTATTTGTTGGGGATTGCAAAATGACTATATTCTATTATTCCTTCTGCATTATTAGCTTAAAATTTTTTTTACCTACTACATTCTGTTTTCTCTCTTGCAAACTGAAATACAGTAGGAAAGCCTCTGCAAATTAAAATATTTAATTGTCAGAGGAAGGTTTGATCTTGGAAGTGAAAATGTGGAGTAACACATTGAAGAGACACTAGCAATAAGCTGAAGATGTGTGTGTAGGGTAGAGAGAGGTACCATCTGTGTGTGGGGGTAAGGGGTGGGGAACTGACTTTTTCCAAATGGAAAGGAAGGTCAGGTGATGTCTAATTAGGAAAGCATGTTCAGTCTTAATGACATTTCATTTAAATCATCAATATCAATTTAATGTAAATTAAAATTAAATAAATCTAATGCTCTCATTGCAACTAAAAACAATCCAAAGATTTAAAAGAGAAGTTAATAAGCCACTACCAGTTTCTTCCATACTTTCTTATAGGGGTTTTGGGCATTGTTATAAAAATGCCATAGCCATCTGTAACTCTTCTCATTGTCATCCCTGTAGGACAAGAATTACCGGTCTGACTTAACTGCAGAATGATTATTAGTTCATGGTATGAATGGATGTACAATAAAATACTCAAATCATTTTCCTATTAATATATATCCAGATTGCTTCCAATTTTAGCCACCTTAAAAGTACCACAGTAAATATTGTACATAGGTCCTTTATTTGTGTAGGGTAGATTCCCAAAAATGGGATTGCTGGATTAAAGTGTGTTGTTAATAGCAGTATCATTATTATTGGTAATACATATGGCCGGATTACTCTCCCAAAACATAATAGCAATTCACACCTCCACTACTAGTGAAATATATGGGTACCCATTTTCCTTCCTGGTTATTAGCACTGGCTAGCATTAATGTTTGCCAGCTGGTGTGTGGAAAATGGTGTCCCTGTTTCTTTAATTTGCATTTCTTCAAAACACCTGGAGACATGAGCATTTTTCATGCTATTGGCCACTTGGATTTCTCTGAATTTCCTCTGTATATCCATTGGTTATATTTTTCTTGTATCAGTTATTTTAATTTTTTTGATGCATTTGCATGAACTCTTTCTTGGGGCTTTAACCCTTTATCACATAGTGCAGTTTTCTCCAGGTGTTACTTCAGTTCATTGGCTTTGTAAGTCTTTTTGATGTATGAAAGTTTTTATATAGTGAAATGTCTTTTTTGTTTTCTTCTGGGTTTCCTGTCTTTCAAAAAGAGCTTTCCCATCTCCTAGGTTATATACTCATTCATCTAATTGTTTTGAGTGTATTTTATTGGACCGTTCACATTTAAATGTCTTAACATGTGGAATATATTTTTACATACAAGTGAGAATTTCACTTTTTTTCTGCAAAAGTGGCCAATTTTGTCAGAGATGTTCATTAAATAAACCACCCTTTTACATTTTTGTTATATTAATTCATACCTAGGTTTATTTCTGGACTATCCTCTCTTTCACCTCTATTTTTGTGCCAATAGTTATTACTTTTAATTATACCTGATTAGCATAGTAAGTGTTAGTATCTAGAAGGTAAGTTACTACTCACTACTTTATGTAATTTTCTTGTCCATTCACATTTTTTTCTTCTGTGTGATCTTTGGATTGTGTTTTATTCCAAGATAAATTCTACTGGAAATTTGATAGAATTTGCATTAATTGTATCTACATTAATTGTGAAAAGATGAACATTTCTGTTATATTAAGTCTTCCTATCAAGGAACCCAGTGTGTACCTACCTTTCTGTTTGGGTATTTTAGGGCCTGTTCCTTTCATGTTAACTTTATTTCTAGTGATTTTACAATGTTTTATTTTTTGCACTTAAGAATGAGATTTTTTTCCCATTTGTATTTTTATCTGGTTATTTCCAAAACTGAGAAAAGTTGTTGATAGTATTTATATTTATTCAGCTCTCCATAAAATTTTTTAAATGTAATAGTGTTTTTCCCTCCCTGCTGTCAATCTATAATTGGTTATATATAAGTTTTATTCTCATTTATTCTATTTGATATACATCTCCCACCACAGAAGTATATCAGAGATGGCAGATGTGCCCAGAAATAGTGAAAGGAAAAAGAGAGATACCAGGAGTCAGCAGAAATCTACACATTCAATATGGATATTGCTGATCATTTATAATAGCAGAACCCAAGTCCTAACTCCTCATAGACTCTGGCTTTAGGGTAGTGACTCTGACTCAGCGTTAATGTGAGGTACCAGCATTATTATAGAATGTTTTAGAACATTGCTGTTACTTATGATGGTTTAGAGAAAAGGCTAACATTATGAACACCAGACATACCACTTAACATAAGTCCCACCACTTGCCTAGAACCTCAGCTAGAGTTGTTTAGTGTTTATTAGGAGAAATTTATTTTTAAATGAGCAGAAAGTACAGAGTTCCTATATATCCCTTTACCTCCCAGTTTTCCCTAATATTAGCATTTTGCATTAGTTTAGTACATTTGTTACAGTTGATGAGCTGATACTGATACATTATTATTAACTAAAGCTAACATTAGGTTTATTCATTATTTGTGTTAGAATGATTCTGACCAGTGTATAATAACATTTGTCTATTTTTCCTATATATTTTGTTGAAAACGAAGATTTGTATAGGCTTAGGGGTTGGAGGATGGAGTGGGATACATCAAGTGTTATCAACTGGACACTGCTCAAGCAAAGGAGCAATGTACATACTTGTTTCCATCAGGAGAGAGTTGTAAGTATCATGGAGATGCAAGGGGCAGTAGATGGGCTAGAGGAGTGAGATGTTCTTTTCCACTTGGGGCTCACAGGGCAGGCATCTCAGAGAAGGTAACCTGTGAGTTGTTGAAGGAGAAGGAGGGAGAAGAAGGGCATTCCAGTCAGAGGGAATGGAGTGAGCAAGGGGAGACCGAGAAGTGCAGTGGGAAAAAGGCCTGGCCCACAGTCAGGCAGATCTGGGTTCCAGTCCCAGCTGTGTCTCGGCGTGTGACCTTAGCTGATCAACACACCTATACTTTACTTCCGTCATCTCAAAAATGGGGATAAAAACTCAAAGGGTATTGTGAAAATTATATATAATAATCGCTTCTCTGTGCAGTTGTCTCCTCATCAGTCAAATGACCTCAAATGTCATCTCCTCAGTGGCTTTCCCTGAACCTTCAAGTCAAGTAATTCCTCCCTCACCCCAGGCCTTGTACTGCTTTACAGTATTTATATTGACTTATTAGCATCATCAGTATATAAAGTTACCTTGTTTAAATAGTTGTTTCTGTACTGACTGTGTATCTCCTTGTAGGTTAAGGTAAGCTCAGTGATCACTTATGTACCTAGTAGATGCCTAGTAAATATCTGTTCAATCACTGTATGAACAAGATGTTCAGCACTTAACACAGTGCCTCTCACTTACTAGATATTGATAAATGGTAGTTACTGAAATTATTCCTGTGACTCATCATGGTGTGTGGCATTTGATGACTAAAAGAAAGTTAGGTCTAGCATCCAAGGATCTCTTAGTCCAGTGGTGGAAACTGACATACAAACACTCATAGTGTAATGTGTAAGCAGAATAATGGAGGTGTTTTCTAAGTAATTTTGGCACACAAAGGAGAGGGACACTAACCATATCTGTGTGATCAGAGAAAGCATCCCAGAGGTGGTAGCAGCTGAACTAGGATCTAAGAGATGAAGTTTCTCCATGGAGAGAAGTAGGGATGGCTATTCAAGGAATAGACAACAACGTGAGCAACACATAAGGAAATTTCCAGGAGAGAAGTGACATATTTGGGGAATATTGAGTACTTGGCTAGGGAAGATGAGAGATAAGAATGCTGAAGAAGTGAGGGCAGACTGTGAAGTCTTGTGTGATATGCTATGGCATTTGGATCTCACTAGTCTATTGGGAACAGGAACCATTAAAAGTTCCTATTGCCAGGGGAATGACATGGTCTGATTTGTGTTTTAGGACAGTTTTCTTATGACAGATGTTGGGAGAGAGAGAATAGCAAATAGCATCAGGGAGACCAGTTCCAAGGTAGTTGTATTCATCTGAGGAAAAGGAGAGGTTGAGGATGCTGAAGCAGAAATAAGGATAGGGATGAAGACAGGAGACTCACTTTGAGACACTTGTAGAGCCAAGAGAAGGTGGTAACTGATTGAATGCCTAGCATGTGAAGAACCAAAGAATTATTACAAGTTACAGACGGTGATATCTCAGCTCTAAGCAGGGAGTCAGGAAAAGAGCTATTGAAGGAAGGAACTAATACTTACCACTTGGGACACGTGGTCTTGAAGTGTACACAGTTCAACCCTAATTATATACTGTCTTGTGCTGAAACCCTTAGGTGAGGGCAGGTGCTATGCTTTACTTCCCTTGGATCCCACAGGGGTTCCTTTCACGAAGACTCTCAGGGTTAGGCACAGGTCAGAGTGGAGGCTGTAATATTTAACATTTTAGAGAGTAGAAGCTGAGATAGGGTGATTAAAATAGAAAGAAGAAACTGTTAAATGTGGGTACCAGAGGTTTTGGTATGGGTGTTTATGTTTTATTTAAAACCTGTATCAATTATCAAATGCTGCATAACAGATTACAAATTTAGTGTCTTATTTGCATTTACTGTCTCATCATTTCTGTGGGTGGTCAGGGAGTTTGAGCCTGGCGGAGCCGAGTTCTCTGCTTCAGAGTCTCACTAGGTTACAATCCTGTTACACCCAGTGTTGAGGTTCATCAGAGACTCAACTAGGGAAAAATCTGCCTCAGAGCTTACTCGACCTGTTAGCAGAATCCTTAGAGTTGTAGGACTGAGGCTGCTCACAGTTCCTAGGCCTCCTGAAGGTCCTGCTCATGTGGGATTCTGCTTCGTGGTAGCCTGCTTTCCTTCCACTGGCAACGGGGAAAAAAACTCCAGAGCATGTGTGCTAGCAAGATGGACTGTTATAATGGAATGTAATCACATTACATCCTTGTGCCATGTTTTCCTGGTTAGAAGCAAATCACAAGTCCCACTCACACTCAAAGAGAGAGAATCATAGAAGGATGTGAGGGGCCATGGGCCAGGTGGCAGGGACCATGGTACCACCTTAAAGTCTATCTGCCACAATACCTTTCTCTGATACTTCATAGCTATTTCATATATTTTTTTTATTATTTTTTATTTTGGTATCATTAATCTACAATTACATGAGCAACATTATGTTTACTAGACTCCCCCCATCATCAAGTCCCCCCTACAAACCTCATTACAGTCACTGTCCATCAGCGTAGTAAGGTGCTATAGAATAACTACTTGTTTTCTCTGTGTTGTACATCCCTTCCTGTCCCCCCACCCCACATTATGTCTGCTAGTAGTGATGCCCCTTTTTTTTCCCTCTTATCCCTCCCTTCCTACCCATCCTCCCCAGTCCCT